TCCATACCCCGTTTTTGATCCAAGATAGCCATCTCCGTTCTGAGATAGGGGGATTATTTCCCTCGTCGGTCACCCGGCTGTTGCCAAAAGTTGGTTGTCTTAGGACTTCATCCATAGACCTTGGCCTATTCACTCTTTTTGGGAGAATTCCTCTCCATATCTCGATCAGGGGCCGACCAATAGGGGGTGGTACATCTGTCCGCGTCTTGTGTTGGCACACCTCTCTGCCTTCTCCTTCCTGTTTTGAGCTTCCCTTCCGTTTAAGTTATAACTGTTTCCTCTGGTGGTGTCTGTTGCCGACCGGCCCTGTCCGGGGTTGAGTTGTGCCAGTCATTCCAGCGCAGCCGGTCCTCTCGGATCTCCGCGACTTTGCCGTTAATCAGCCAGTTACTGCTGAATTTCAACCTTAAAATCTTCCGTTGCTCTTCATCCTCAGGCCACGTCATCTTGATTTTCCGCCATCTGCACAGAATCTCTGCTTGGATCATTGATTTGGATACCTTCCAAACTTTGTCCCTTGGGTTGGAAAGCCCTTCGATTGTTCTGCAACATCTCTCCTTCCATATCACCCAGATCGTCACCTTCCTGATGAGTTCGAACCAGATCCTTTCCGATTTCCGGGACATGGTGGGGATGTTAGTGAGGAGGAGCAATTGGATAGGTTGACGAGGGAAGGGGGATGCGAAGAGTGATTCCCACAGCAGAGAGGCTCTGGTCCAGTATTCTGTCACTTCTACACACTGTATCATGCAGTGGATTAAGTCCTCTACTACTCCTGTCGTGCAGACTGTACAATTTTTAATGTTTAAATCTTCCTATTTAATGTCTGTATCATTGCTATGTCTGTATCATGCTAGTGTCTATTCTATAATTTCTATTTAATGTTTAAATCTTCTTGTTCCTTGCCCCTCCTGTCCGCTACTTCGTTCTATTTTTTTATTATTATTATTTTTCAAATTTTGTCTATTTAGTATTTATTAATTTTATTTGTCTATTTATTTATTTATTTATTTTGTCTGTCCCTCACTTCCTCTCCCGTGTGGGAAGGTAAACCACCACTATCAAGTGTCCACCAGTCCATCCGAAGTTAATTGACGACCGAAAAATTGCATCTTTCATTCTTTTTTTGTTCTTTTTTTTTGAAGACCGAGTCTTTTAAGACCAATCAATTCAAGTACCTGTCTGGGTTCCCCGTAATACTATAATGACAAATTAAAAAAAAATGCACTTTTCGGAGCCTAGAATCTGCAGTGCCGGCGGCCTTTGAAAAAAATCCACAGGGCACTGTAGATTTTAGCCCGGTACTTGTGTAGTAGCAAAATCTACGCTGCCGCCCGTGGACGGACTGGTGGTTTAAGCCGCGTACGCAGGACACTCTTCCTACTAGGGACATGCAGCTCCACCAAGAGGACTAAACAAGTAAGGTGTGCTGGATCCTTGATTCAAGTGTGTCAGCTCACATGGAGCCTCCACTGGCAGAGAAACCATCACTCACCAAGAGCACTGATGGTTGAAAGCAGTCTTTCTCAGAGAGTCCCCGATGCCCAAACATTCCTTACCTAGACTAGAGGCCAAGCAGCTCTGTACGGAGAATGAGCTATTTTGCAGGATATGTCAGTCTCCTTGCCTATTGATAATTTGATACCATACAACAGGACCCTGGTAGCCCAGCGACCAGATATGATGGCAGACCTAAAGGCTGACTTCTCCGTGATGATGATCTTTTGCTTGTTAGTGTTTCAAAGGGGTATCCCTTCCCCTCCTACCCTCCCTCCCGATCAGGGATTCTGAAGAGGATAGCATGAGGAATGACCTACATCACACCTCATCCTATGGCCAGGCCTGATGGATGTTATGTATGCGCTAAGGGAGGATGACGAACATGGGCCCCAGCCTCGCTAGCTCATTGGTCACTTAGTGCCGGTATACCATCAGTGCAGATGACCTCTGCAAATATGATGTCGACGTATAGCTTGCATCATGCCAGGAACAGCTGTGTGGTCGTCTTGCTTTTCTTTGGTGATTCTAAATCAAATGTTAATGTGAGCAGTATGGGGGAGAAGGTCTGTAGTATGGAGCAATCTGTACTCTTGACGATGTAGTTATACTGTGAGACGTAATCCTCAATTACCTTGTTTTCATGTTCAAGTCTGTGAATCCCCCACAAGTTGCAAAACAGGGGGCAGGACTTTCACTGGAACCGGACAAGAAGTACGCAGAACTGGTGCTGCTTTCTAAAAGAGCAGGAGCTCGGCCGCAGGGAAGGGATGATAGGCCAAAGTGGTATCTTCCCTGATTAGCACACGTTGAAGTTAGCATCATGACTCTACCTGACCAGATACCGGCCCTGACTAAATTCGTAGGCAGAGAGGAGGTGAAAGGGCTGGGTAGAGACTCAGAGAGTAGTGTTTATAGGTATTGACAAACCTCATTGGGGTGACTAAGAAGAGGGCAAATCTACCTGAAGGACACAAAAAAAAAACTGCATGCTCATGAGCTGGAAATTTGTTGTCTTTCATATGGCTTTGGCATAATCCAGATATCTGCTGCATTCACTGAGGCATTTTCAGAGCACACAAGACAGCAAAAACACTCATTGACACTGGCTCGATCCCTGAGGAGAGCACAGCATCAGGCGGCTTTGGCATATTCAAGACTCGTGCGTAAGTGTCCATCCATTCGCTACATGATTTCTTTTTGGGGTAAGTTCGGTTGTGGCACAAACAACTTTGGAAAGGGCAACAAAATCATACGCGGGCAACAAACTCGCGCTCCGAGTTTGAAAGGGCAACAAACGCATTTTTACCCGGGCACCAAGTTTGAAAAGGGCAACAAACTCACACGCCGAGTTTGGAAAGGGCAACAAAATCACGCGTGGGCCACAGCCACTTTTACCGATATTTTTTGCCCTTTTCAAACTCTGCACCTGATGTTGTTGCCCACACACTTTTTTTTTTTTTCCTTTCGAAACCGAAAGTGTGACACTGCAGGCGGGTAAGTTCGGTTGTGGCACAAACAACTTTGGATAGGGCAACAAAATCATACGCGGGCAACAAACTCGCACTCCGAGTTTGAAAGGGCAACAAAAGCATTTTCTTTTCCTGTTACCTGTGGATAGAAGGTCAGTATTCCTCTTTTGGAACAAAAGGGAACATGACGAAGACAGGAACGGAAAGAATTTGCTCTTCAAGCGAGGTGTGACAAATCGTTCAGTTGTTTTATGTCGTAAACAAAGGCTTGAAAGTTACTTCAAACAATAGCATGAGTGTAGTAGGACTGCAGTGTGGAGTGAAAAGTGGCGTACGAAAGGTGTTTCAATTTTACACAGGCCCATAAACTATTCAGTTGAGGGAATATGTACTTCTCGTGAGTTGACATGTTCTCCACTGGCTATGGTATCTGAGGAGCCGATGGGGATGCAAGTACAGTGTCCACCATCACAACTACCCACACCACCCACAGCGGCTCCATGCAGTCACAGCGCCATTGCCCTGCCGTCATGTGCTCCAGCCTGCCATGCTTTGTGGATAGCCCAATGTAGAAGGTAGCTGATGTCAGAAGCGGGCATCATGAGTGTCCTAGACCTTGAGAATCTTTGAGGTTGTCAAGGTTTACTAGGATCATTCCTGTTGACTTGTGAATGCTTTACTCGTTCAATTTGATGAGCAAACCAAACTGCGGTCACTGCACCGTCATTGCTATGTCTGTCAATTTGGGTATGGATTGACTACACCTTTTATGGTTCCACTTCAGAGTGATTGTTTTTGTTCGTACGTTGTCAAGCAGTCCCAATTTTATAATACCGACTCCTGCACTCTTTTCACCTTCACACTTGGTGACAACCAGGTGAGGCACACCCTTACTCGAGTTGTTCCTGATCTTCGGTTCTCACTTACCACACTGTATGCCACCTAGTCAGACGAAGGTTTCATTCCTCCATTGCTCCTTGCTTTTTTTTGACACCATGGATTTGGGCTATGATGTTATCCTCGACTCTCTATGCTCCAGTTGTTCGGCTTTACAGGTACGAACTAGGACCTTGGGGTCCTTGTCATTTGAATGAGAGATGACATTTTCACCATATCCCAACACTAGGCACTATGATGGACATCCCACCCTCGTCAACATCATCCAGCGACTGAGCGACTCATGGATGCACAAGACATTTTCGTCACCACACCTACAATTTTTTGCCACTGCTTGTGCCAAGTGGGCATCACCCTTTATCTGGTGAACACCATGGACATCCTCCATAGTTATGATTCCCTGTGCACTGGTATAGGGTGGGTTAGCCTCGAGAACGACTCACTGGATCTGTGGGGCATCTTGACCCTCTTCACCCTCCTTTTTTTCCCTTTGGTACTTTTTTTTAATGAATTTGGGCCATTTCTCTATTTATGTGTGTCATCCTTGCGCAGGGGCCATGCTAATCTTCTCTGTATTGTTCCAATTTTAACGGATGTCCAAAAGGACTCCCTCTTCGCCCTCCTCATCTGCATGATCCTACATATATCCATGGGACTTCACTTTCTCTCCTTCCACCAGTGGTGACACCTCCACTTCTAACTCTATACATAGTCCTCCATCAGCCTATCTTTCGTCGACAATCGATTCCTTCCATCCATCGCCTGAGCACGTAGATGATAAGGAGTTCGACACGTACTTAGCCTTGTAAGAGCCCATCATCCCGGAACTGATCTGAGAGATGGCGTGGGTAGCGCAATGTATTTCCTGCCCCATTTCCTTATAGTAGTATCCTACCCATGCCAGTATTGCACATCAGATCTAGCTTACACCTACATAATCAGGCTCCATGCCAACTCTTGGTTCATCAGGCGAAAGAAACTAAGCATCAACTTGAGGAGTTCCTTCGATTGGGTTTTCATTAATTCCAATACCTCACCTGGGTAGCAACCATCTTCGTTGCCCACAGAGGGTATGGTGTACTCAGACTCTGTGTTAACTACAGGGATCTGAATAGCCATATCCCCCGGGGAACAACTACTCGATCCGCCATGTTGATACATTGCCCAACCGTTTAGCAAGAGTCTCTATGGTAGTTTATGCAAAGATTGATGCTCATGGTAGTTACCATTGGATTCGTTTGACGAAGGATTAATCAAAGAGTTCTTTTTGATCTAGGTCTGGTATCTATGAGTTCATGGTGGTGACATTTGGGATCACGGATGCCCTAGCCACCTTCCAAACACTGATGAACATAGTCTTGCAAAGTTTATTTGAGACTTTTGTCCTCGTGTATAATCTATTGTCATCGTACTTGTGAGGTGTAGTTGGTGCAAATCTATGACTCCCTACAGCTCTTGCTTAGCTGTGGCTTCTATGCAGAAAAAGACTCCACAAGCGCCTATTTGCACAGACTGAGGTGCATTCCCTAGGACACTATGTTCCTGAGCAGGTTCTCCTCACAAATGATGCGAAGATCGCTGGCATAGCTGAGTGGTCCCTTTCGTCTCTTAAACCACCAGTACACCCAGGCCTGGAGGTGCCTTACTGTGCGCCAACCTTTTCCAAACAGCCACTGCGCACTTCTTTCGTTTTTGGTTGGCGCCGCCAGCCATTGTGGTTCGGTAGGCCGAGCCTGCGAAATTTTTGTAGGTGAGGAGTTCCTTTTTCAGCAACGCTGGGGGCGTGTACTGGGTACTACTGGCGGCTTAAACCACCAGTACATGGCCCAGCCAACTTGAGAACCACGACTGATCACACCTAAAATTCCGGAGGCTCGAGACAGGGCCGACCTGCGGGGCCAGTGGGGGAAAAAAAATTGTCCCATGCCTTGGGGTGAGAGCAGGCGCTGCACTGAACAAAAAATGATTTCCGCCAGCCCCCAGGTGGGCCCTATCCCGAGTCCCCGAGATCGTGATTCTCAAGATGCGCTGGTGGTTTAAAGAGCTCTGTAGCTTCCATGGCTATGATGAATTCCTACCGCAATTCTTCCATTCTATAATTATTCCACCTTCTCAATATTTGACCTGTATGTGATTGGATTCAATTTTCGAACGGCAAACTTTAGGCTTGTCTTTTTAAAATAGCAGGTCATGCTGTGACTGAACTTTCATGCCATTGCCAGTATTGTAAACATTGTCAACAGAGAACAAAAAAAAAAAAGGAAAAAAAAAAAGAGATTGCATCACTTGTGCGTGCGAGCTTGTCATATATTTTGTTACTTGCCAGACAAACATCACAACTTACCACAAACCAGTGCTGAAAACCCGGTAGGACCGGGGGGTCCTCCCCCAACCGGAACCGGACCGGTCCTACCGGCCGGTCGACCGGGCCGATTCTCCCCCGGTTGGCTGTAGTGT